TAAAAAAAATCTTTTCATGGATGGTCAGAAGGGGGAAAAATTACAAAGTTCATTGCAGAAAGCCTCTTTAAGCATGAACTGTACAGCAAATTTGTACATAATTTCATAGGCAGAGTTCAGTTTCCTGCAAATAGTCATGCATAGTTATGTGAATAACTTTTATCCAGTGTTACTTTTTGAAACTGTTCTTCTTAAGAACACAGTATAGTTGGCTGAAATATAACATTACAAAAATGTGGGCAGCAGCTGTTTATTTTCGATGAAATTGACAAAATGCCTCCAACCGTGCTCAATGCGATAAAGCCTATGATTGATTACAGAAATAACGTTGACGGAGTTGACTACACCAGAGCCATATTAATTTTTCTATCGAATACTGGTGCTAGCCTCATCAACGAGCACTATCAAGATTTCTAGAAAAAGGGAAAATCAAGAAAAGAATTGAACGTGAAGGTTTTTGAAAGTTCAATAACCAAGGGAGCATTCAATGAAATGTATTAGACAACTTTCAAAATATAATTCCAATCAAAATATTCTTCAATGAGTAGAAACCTTCAGCAATATATTTTTTTGAATTTTGAATTAGTGCATACTCAGCGATTCACCTTTTCGATCATTTGGATAAGTACTTATTTTGTAAACCACCCGAAGCAACTAACTTAACACGCCAATACCAAAAACAAATCTTACAAAAAATTCAGTTATATATGAAAGAAGAAAAATATATAACCACCTACCAGAATATTCAAAAGTACTGAAAAATCTAATGCGGGAAAGCAGAGAGAGACACCAGAATTTCATCGTCAATTCATCCAGGTTTGGAGACCAGCTCCCCTACCCTTTTGGCTGATCGTTGGTTTTGAGAGGGACCAATGGGTTCATGACTGAATAGGTGACGGCATGAAGTCCTTAGACATCAGTGCCGCCCTTCACGGGATACCCCTACCTGGCTGGGGTGGGATGGATGAAAAAGTTATTCATCCTTTAACGGGGGACATGAGGGCCTCATTCGACAGAGTGTCGGGGCCTTCTATATCGGGAGGGGTCGTCTACAGCCTAATCTGTGGCTTCCCTAACTAACGGGTTTTCATGAGTTTCCGTTTTTTCGAAAACTCTCTCGTTCCTCGACTGAATGGACTGCCGAATGGAAGGCAGCTGCAAATCTCTGCGGATGGCTTCATTCCGCACGAACAAGGAGCATTCACAATCATCCTCATTATCTTATTTTGCAACCTTTCCAAAATGGAAATGTTGGACGGTGCCGCTTGTCCCCAGACGCCTGAAGCGTACATGATGACAGGCTTGAACATCGTGTTGTAGATCGTGATTTTGTTTTTTACACTCATTTTTGATTTTCTATTGATCAGAGGGTACAGACTGGCTATCCGACCCTCGATCTTAGATTTGACGAGCGTAATGTGCGGGTTCCAAGTGAGCCTACGGTCTATCAGAAGGCCGAGGTACTTTACCCGCGCTTGCCAGTCAATCTCCCTTCCAGAGATTCTCACTTTTCTGGCCGGAGAAGATAGTAATCTTCCCATGGTTATCGTCTGAGTCTTAGAGACAGACACAGTCTTAAATTCAAAATATATAGTACCCCAAAATATGTATATGATTTTTTTCTGATGTATAATGAATCTAGCGACATCTTCTGTTCAATGTCGAAACTAATGGAAGGCAGAAAACAAATGATTTGTTGATTTTCTTACTTCCTATAAGTATGGATGTTTACTGGAAGATGGCGATCATAAAATAAATATTTAAATATTTTGCATTACGCATTCGAAAATTATCTTCGGGTTAATTGACCATTAAAGTTTCGTTATATAGATAATAAGCAGCATTCATTAAAATTTTTGTCAACTATCAGAACGCAATGTGCACCTACAAAATAATAGGCATTTCATGTAATCGAACAAAATAGGCAAATTATAATAGATAAGTATTTTAAATAGTTATTTATGTATCAAGGGAATTAGGAGGGCCTTAATTACCGATGGCAAAGTTTGCGTCCCGAGGGCCCCTGGCCCGAGGGACAGCAATTGCCTGAGGTTATTAAGGCTCATTAATTCCCGTGGTACATAGATAATTTTATTTCTGACCGATTTCAATAAAATTTTGTTCATTTTTGAAACGGAAAAATGTACCAATTCATTACCTTCCCGGTATATTTGAATCAGGTACCGTTGATTATAGTAGAGTTTTCTTGTTGCTAGGTTGTTGCTATGTTACTTGTTTATAAACAGAACTTTGTTATCAAGCTGTGTTTGCGGTGAAAACGTGTTTTCTACCCCAAATATAATGGAGGATATTTTGAAAAAAGCTGAACAAGCAAGAGAATCATTAATTCCATCGAAAAGTGAAGCCGTATACCAAAAAGAATACAAGATATATCTGGACTGGCTGACACGGAAAAATGTTATGCCAAAAGATGTCACTGAAACTGTATTTCTGGCATATTTTCAAGAACTGGTAAGGAATTTTCTATGTTTTTCGGTAGATTTGGTAGTAATTGTGTTTATTCGTTTCAGTCAGAAACGTATAGTCCGAATTCTTTATGGACTAAATGGTCAATGCTAAAATCGATGGTGACTATACATGAGAAACGAGATATCACCAAGTTCAATGAACTACAGGCTTTTTTGAAACGGAAGAGTAAGAGTTATAAGCCGAAAAAGTCTGCTGTTTTATCTCCTAAAGATGTTATCAGATTCCTAAATGACGCTCCTAATGATATTCATTTATTGCATAAGGTAATTTTTTTCTTATTTTCCTTTTTGTGTGTATTTATTTCCTTTTTTTTGTTATAGGTTGTTTTGATTATGGGTTATTCCTCGACTGTAGTGAACAGAAGCTCCAGCCATACAAAAGAAGAAATTGTTTCCAGTGGCGGAAGTAATTTTCAGGGAACATTTCAAAATTGTACATTTTTTATTTGTAATGACGTGAATAAATAAAATATGGTTCAGTTTTCATTTCTATTTATTTTTACTTGTGAAAGGTAGAGGGAATTATAAAATCTATAATGTCCCAAGGGAGTTATGACCCTCTTTATTGATAGCGTAACTATGACGATATAAGCTTATTATATCCCGGTCAGAAATAAAATAGTTTTTCATATCTTTCTAAATGAATCCTTACTCAAAACTCAACCTGACAGAAATTTTGTAGTAGTCGACATTTTTAGAGAATTCAATAAAGATTAAACAAACAATTGGTTGGAAACACAGTGTGAGCACCTATTGTGACAAGCTTTGATAAAAACAGAGTTGGAAATGAAAAAATGCTTCAAACACATTATGATCAAATGAGAACTTGCACTATATGACAGTATTTACAGTTTTGAGTACTTGTTGATGATGAGTGATATACTATAATACTGAAATCACTGTCAACTAATATTCAATGTAGTTTTCTCTCAATGAAAACTTGATCGGCAGTCAGCCCAGAACTACCTTCGTCAGATAGGTAAGCACCACAAATACGTGGTATAGAAAGAAGCCTTACTTTGACGCAATTCAGGGACACGCCCTTTCATATCTGCAGGATACTTACTGCACCCATCAGCCAGAAGATACAATCCTGATCCTCAGTAAATCTGTAGCTATCTAGGTCAGAATGCACAGTACTCAAAACACCTGTGGACCATCTTCCGGGATATCCTCTGCTATAGCCATACTGAAGAGATTCCAGAGTTGATTGGTCAATAATGAAGTTATTTGTTCAAGGTGCAAGATTCTCACCTTGATGTTTGCAGCAACCTACCATATATGTGACCATTTGTATATCAGCTATGTTGAAAAATATGTTAAAATATGTTTTTTTCATTAACCAGCTGTCGCACCCCTTCGAACGACAACCCTCAGAAGTCGAAACTTGTGCGAGCTAAGGACTAACGAGGTTTTACCTTTTAAAGTGTGATTCCTATACGTCACAACACATTAGAGTCAGTCAAATAGAACTTTCTTACCTCTGATTTGTGTTCTCCCCTGATGCAGGTTCTGCTTTTCTGCTCAAGAATGTATTGCAAGGCATATTCCTACAATACTCTGTTCTTGAGGAGGTGATAAGTTGTTCCTGCTGCACCAATCTTCTAGATTTGTTAACAGATTCCATCCTTGAAGAACTGAAAAGCTCTTGCCCTTGATAGGATATTATAAGGAGGATAGTTGGAGTTGTTTAATCAACATCCATTTCCTCTGTAGATTTAGTAGGGTCAGATTCTTTGGTTACTTCATGGTCCATAAAGGAGGTCCATTCTGGCAAAGTAATCTAAGCCTCCCAGCTCCAAGACCAGAATAAGTATGTGATAACATGTGGGTTAAACTCCAAGATAGTTCTTTCAGCTACTAATGTTACAAGTATGGTTATTCAAAAATCCTTTCTAGTTTCTACCTTCTTTGCTGAATTTATAATTGATATTTAAAGAAGTACTTTAATTAATAAGCAATATCAAAAGATAATTTAAAAAACTATATGGTGGACGGTTACCTCTCGCAAGTTTAAAACAAGAATTATGAAGAGAATATTTTTAAGATCATCACAACCATTTTTATCAGAATAATAATAAAATCTTATTGATAATAACTTGAAGGCCATTCTGAAACAATAACAAAATAATAGTATAAAAATGAATCTTGAAATGTTGATGACTTACACTGCACAACCTTCCGGGTGCAAAAAGTTAAATTACAATGGATGCTTGCCAAATGAAGTTGAGAATACTCATATAAAGATTGTGAGGGATACAAAATAGCCAATAAAGTAAAAAAAATGTTTTTTTCAACAAAAAATTAATTTCATTCAACAAAGCCTTATATTCTCAGAAACATTTTTCTAAAGATATAATTAATCCAGATTCAATTTGTAATTAACAAGCTGAAGTAATATACAAATGAAATAATCATTTTTCATCTTTTTTTTTCAACTTACTACAACTTTTCATCTTTTTTTTAACTTACTACAAAACCACCTTTAAAAATATAAGGAATCGACATGCAGATTTCTAAGAATTTAAAATCGATTATAGACAGGCAATATTTTAAATATTCTCCATTTTCAAATGAGTACTTTTGTAATATCTAGAAACATTTTAACTTACTTTTATATAATAGTGGAATGAAAGTATAAAGATTGTATGAGGGTTTTGAAATCAGCTCGACCAACCTCTTGCAAAAATCAAAAACATGGAGGTTTCTTGGTTTCTACCATTTATTACTCGATTAAAAATGGAATGTACACTAGGTACATTTCACTCAGTCTTCTTCTTAATATCCGCATTCCAGTAATACAGTAATTGGAAAACTAAGACACCATTGGACAATGTGGACGCAATATACGTTAGAATCACCACACTGTCACCAGTTTCTTGAATTGATGTGAATATCCTAGCAGCCGACCCAGCAAATAACATAAATAGGGTAATTCCAGACAGCTGACCTGTATGGCCATTTTTGTAATTAGTCCATGCCTGTACAAGTTTACCGGCTACAACAATTGGAATATTGCATGTCTGCAGAGTCCACAGAATATGTATAGGTGTGAGACCAGACATCATAGTAAAGCAAATAATCAGGTATCCAGTCAGGTATAACAATGACAGAGCAACTGAATTTCCATAAAGTAAAACTAAAACTCCAATTGCAACTGTCTGGATTGCTAGGAAGCCTGCATCTCCCCAAGAGCTGAACGGAAATCCTTTGATAAAACTATAAGACATGTAGATTGTGATGGCCGTCAAGTCGAGAGAAACACTGTACAAATTTATGCCTTCACCACTTCTGTTTTTGATTATTTTCAAAATTTGAGGCAGTTTCACGGTTATAGACCCCAAAATTATTCCTAAGCCCAGGCATTTGCTTAAAGTAGAACTAAAACATGGTCCTGAAATAAAAGAGAATGTAATAAATTATGATTGAGTAGGGGCTCTCCACACTCACCATCTAAATAATTGAACTCAATAAAATAATTATCAAAACATCCAGGAGTGAATATTAAAAGTGCTGCCTTCCTAAAAAGGTCGAACATAGATGATGTAGAATGGTTCATGATTTCTTCTAACACAAAAATGTCATAATCAACAATAACAGTCTAATACTGTAATGTATGTACTATCGTATACAGTGTACGTCGACAAAACCCAATCAAAGATTCAAAATTCAAAGTACACTATCATTAAATACGTATAGAAGCATAAGCTGTCTCTTTTAAAGAATTAGTACATGAAACTATTCAGGAAAGGATATTTTTGATAACAGTATCTAGAGACAACAGCACCATTGGGTAGATAAGCTGGGGATATTACTGACAGACTGACAACTATTCATATCCTGGAGTAATTTATCTCTATAAAGATTGTATTTGTTGCTTTCATGTAGAATATATCGCTAATGTGACAATGTTTGGGAAAATTCAATTCACTGTCATTTGTCAATGACAACATCACTAAATCTCATAGATCCATTTCGTCCTCTGAGGTGGTTGCAAATACTTCTAGTTCTCATGTTCCCGACAGTGCTGTCCCAGATGTCCCAGTCCTCTCATCATTCTTTCTTTGGTGTGTCGGAATTAGAGGTACATTTCTGTCGAATCTTAGTGTCAATTTTATATATGTTATATGAGATAATGGAAACTATCGGATAAAATTCAAATATATATCTTTGATTGGAATATACTTTGACACTTGTGATACTGAGAAATTTTATTTTCATGAATTGTTTGTGGACCATGGTCTCTTTAATCAATCATGTTCCGTGGTGTTTATATTCAGTGTTATGATCAAAGAGTACTTGTTGTACTCTTTGTTTACACACAGAAACTTGGCACTTGTCACTTGACAGTAATGACACGAAACAGAGACGAGCTGTCATTATCAGTCTTGTTCTTGTTTGACGTACTTCAAAAAAATTTAAAGAGTTTCAGTGATTTACCGTTATCCTTATTCAAAGTGAATATAAGGTCGTTTTTTGATTACCTGAACAGTTTGTCTGGTAAATGTACCTATTTCTAATCGTTTTCTAGGAGCTGATTGAGAAAACCGTATAAGGCTATGCCAAACATGTCAAGGAAATATTTGAAGTCAATGCACAAGTTTTATTTTTTTTGCATTAAGTTTGATTACTATTTATAATTCTTGATTCTATTTTTAACTGTGAAGTGTTTTAAAAGCCAACTACAATGAGAATTTTTAAGAAGTTAAGGTGAACATAACCATTAAATATTAACTTAATTTTCTTGTTACAATGGCTTCTATTTCCAAAAGATCATGGAAATTCCGTAAGTACTTGGTAAGTCCTAATTATAGTTCATATAATCATCAGCGTTCATTTTCAGAGGACTTTATGGCCCACAATTCCAATGTGAATTGTCTGGCTCTGGGACACAAGTCAGGTAGAGTTATGGTTACTGGAGGAGACGACAAAAAAGTCAATCTTTGGGCAATAGGAAAGCAAAGTTGTTTTATGAGCCTGAGTGGTCACACGACCCCTGTCGATTGTGTTCAATTTAATCAACTTGAAGAGCTAGTATGTGCTGGCTCAAGGGCTGGTGCACTCAAAGTGTGGGACTTGGAGGCAGCAAAACTAGTTCGAACTCTAAATGGTCACAAGTATGCAATCAAGTGTATTGATTTCCATCCGTACGGCGACTTCCTAGTTTCGGGTAGTGCAGATAGCTCCATTAAAATGTGGGACACTCGAAAGAAAGGAGTGCTCTTTACTTACAACGGACACAAGGGAACAGTAAACAGTGTCAAGTTCAGCCCTGATGGGCAGTGGATAGCTACAGGAGGCGAAGATTCCACACTAAAAATATGGGATCTTAGAGTGGGTCGGGTTCTAAAAGACTTTCGTGAACATATGAATCCTGTAACATGTGTAGAGTTCCATCCCCATGAATTTTTGCTAACCAGTGGCAGTATTGACCAATCAGTCAACTTTTATGATTTGGAGAATTTTAATTTAGTTTCAACTGAGAACAATGTTGGTGCGGTGAGGTGTTTGTGTTTTAATCCAGACGGTGAGTGCTTGTTCACTGGTACTAGAGACTACTTGAAAATTATCGGATGGGAGCCGAACAGACTGTATGACTCTGTTCCTGTATTTTGGGGCAGAGTTAGTGACATTTCTACAGCTTCAAATCAATTGGTAAGTCACTGCTATAACGTGTAGTTCATTTTTGATAATTTAATTCAGAATTTTCTGTTTTTAGTATATAATGTTCCACAAAAGTACAGAAAAGCCGTTTTTTTTATTGCATATTCTGATACAAAAAATTATACTAAATTATTTCAAATGGAAAGTAGTTTTGCTAGTCAGTTGGATTTAAGAGTCATTTTCAGTATAAATTTGACATAAAAAAGGTTATGTTTCTAATTAGTACATTACACATAGTAAATTGAACTAAAACCTATTGAAGATCAAAATTTCACTCTTTCGATAATATTTTTACAAACCAAATTGGACTAGAGCATTTTTTCTTAAGTCTAGACTTCTGTCTAGTCCATCAGATGTATGTATAAGTCTCAATACATTTTTTACATTTTAATTACGCAAGTCTTTCATTTCAGCAAAAGCTTACATGAATGTAATTAAAAAAATCTTCAAGTGATTAAACATTTCTTTACTGTCAAGTAAGCTAGGAGAACAAAATTAAAATTTCTCACTTGTTAGAAAACTTGAATGTACAATATCAGGCTTCTTTTATGTTTGTTATTGTCTTATTAAACATGTTTTTCTTTTCATTCCAAATGATTATTTGAGATATCACTGCAACCACAACCGATAAAAGCTTCTCAAGATAATATTTGAGATTTGGGATCACAGTATTTTAGGATCATTATAAGCTCTAATCCCTACTTATTTCCACCTTTTTTTATGTTTGTTTCATTAAATAAATCAGTGGATCATTGCTAGCTTCACACTAGATGTGGCTAAAAGTAATAGAATTTTTAGTCTCATTTTTGGTTCATTTCTAATTTTATTGAACAATTTTTGCTTCCTGTTTAAATTATGTTTGGGTTGTGACCATTAACTTAGTGAGAACAGAAATTGTGTAAGAAATCATTTACCAATCACCTGTTTTGTTTGTTCTTTTTAAACAATGGACTCTGTCAATTTAACCTTCATTAATCTCTTTTATGCCAGAATAACCACTTTAGATTTTTTATGTATTTCTAGAATACAATTTTAGAGTAATTTTGTTCCTAAATTTTTTTCTCCTCATTCATAGGACATATCTTAGGTTGGCTCCTATTCTCGTTAATCTCTGATTTTTCTTGATTTTCCTAATCAGTGGGTTCTGCTACCTCAATTATTAAGCTAAGAATAGAATAGAATAGAATTTAATAATCTGTAAAAGCAGAACATAATATGTTACAAAATAATTTGGTACACAAATGTTACTACTTCATTAGACTAGTCAACTAAAATCAGAATATATACCTATTTATTAGACTATTCTACATACACAATCTACTTTCAACGCTAAAATTTGTTAAAAAAGGTCATATTCAGTCATTTAAAAATTCCTTCACAGAATAGAATGCTTTTCTCAGCAAGAACTTACTTAAAAGAGATTTAAAAGTTTTAAAATCATTGAATTTTTTTTCACTGCCATATTTGTTCTTGAAATAATTATAAAATAGGATGCCTTTGTATATGTGAGAGCATTGACCAATGGCAAGTCTCGAAAACGGCTGCTGCAAATTCCTTGCACTTCGTGTATTATAGTTATGGTGAGCACTATTTGTTGGTAGTACTTCCAATTGTTTTTTTTACGTTTAAAATAGTTTGAAATATGTACAATGATGGAACAGTTAGAATAGATAATTCAGTAAATATTTATTTGCATGATATTCTTTGATGCACTCCTTTTATGCATCTAATAATTTTCTTTTGCTGTAGAAATACTTCTTCTATTGTTGAGCCTCCCCAAAATATCAACCCGTAGGATATATTTGATTGTATCAAACCATAGTAAACCAACAGCAGCACGTCCATTGACACTGTATTCTTCAATTGCCTTAGTACAAAGCAGTTTTTACTCAGTTTATTACATAAGCTGTTAATATGGTTTTCCCAGCTTAGTTTATGGTCCAAGGTAATACCTAGAAACTTCGTTGATGTGACCTGTTCAATACTTTTGCCATCAATTCTAATCAGGGAACAGAATGTATTATTGATGTTTTTTGGAATGAATGAGATAAAATTTGATTTTTCTCTGTTCACACACAAGCCCGTACTGGTACACCATGTGTGAAATTGGTTTTCAACGGTGTTGGCAGTTTCTACTGTTTTTGCTAAGTTGTTTTCTCTCACTATCATATCGTGTATTATAGTTATGGTGAGCACTATTTGTAGGTAGTACTTCCAATTGTTTTTTTACGTTTAAAGTAGTTTGAAATATGTACAATGATGGCACAGTTAGAATAGATAATTCAGTAAATATTTCTTTGCATGATATTCTTTGATGTACCCCTTTTATGCATCTAATAATTTTCTTTTGCTGTAGAAATACTTTTTCTATTTGAGTTGAGCCTCCCCAAAATATCAACCCATAGGATATATTTGATTGTATCAAACCATAGTAAAATTTGAATTTGTTATAATTGCTATGATATGCCTTGTCAACTAATTCAACAAACAATTTTTCCCCATTTGAATTGAATATTTGAGCGGTTATCTCAGATGTAAGATCAAGAATAACTTCTATGGGAGATGTTCATAAAACAAATTGTTCGAAAAGATTATGAAGTTGCGAGAAATTCAAAATTCGAAAAGTGAAATTATTTCGATTTGATGATGGTTGATGATGGCTTGATGGTTGAACAAGTAGAAAAAACACCTGAAGAATTGGATGGTGTAGCAGAAATAGAAGCCTGAAATAAACCTAAAATTTTTCAAATATTACAAACAAAGTATAAGTAGGAGCTCTTTCATGGTATTATTCAAGGTACTGCTAAAATAATATTTGTGAGTAGACTAAAATGCTGTTATGAATACGCTGACCCTTTACTTGATGATAGATGTTGTCTAGGTACTGATCCAGGTACTGATCACTAGAAATGTTGTACAAGTAAAATCAAAGGTGACCTCTGAGGGAGAAATTACTGTGTTTCAGTAGAGCTTTCATTTCGCCAGCAAAGAAGGTATTCCAAGTATTTTATATGCCTAAATTGGTATCTTACCTATTCAACCTTGTTCTTAACAATTGTAGGTCAACAGTTGGGAAGATTAAGTTGTAAATAGGGAAGTAGATAGTGACAAATTGTGCAAATGAGAACACATTGTATGACACATAGTTTTAATAGCATATCTTTTGTAAATATTAGTTCAGACAGGAGGAGTTAATTCTGGTGACACATAGTATGTATGTTTGATAATAAACTACATCATCATCTTAGTTTCTTTATGATGTGAAACTACACTTTTGTATAAAATTTTCATTTTAAGTTGACTCAGTGGAGCCTATGCTGTCAGTTAGAAATTGAATAGGATATTTTGAAGAATGTTTTTAGATGAATGATGTTGGGTGGATGTTTTTTTGCTCTTCTATAAGTGCATTTCAATAACCAAATTGTGAGATTCTATAATTCGTAAAATTAACGTACTTTTCCTGCTCATTTGATGTCATGGATCCAGGTGTCCGAATTTTCGTGAAAGTGAAAGTACATCATCATTTGTCCATCGTTAGTCCATGTTTCTCCATAGAATAGATTCGTTTATCCATGAACCAGAAAAAATATCTAAAAATGAAAATTTTCAAGATTTTTTATTTGGTTTGCTTAAACGGTAAATTAATTGGATATTTTCAATACCAGACAACCGAGAAAGAATCTTACGTTGGACTAACTTTACACTTTGCAAAAATTTGAAAGCATTCAGTAAATCGTTATTGGACATGATGCAATCGATACTCCATTGTTAATTCATGTTTCTCCATGGAACAGATTCGTTTGTCCATGATCCAAAAAGCAAATTTTACCCTTTTACACATTTCTGAGAGTTTCCATTTAATAATACATTGTTTCATCACGTTATTCCACCAATCAATTTACCATATTATTGCAAGACAATGGAAAAAGAGAGACTACTGTTGAAAACTTCATATTTTACCAAAATTTGAAAGCTTTCAGTAAATGGTTGTTCAAAATGGTACATTCCATAACTCATCCTAAGTCCATATTTCTCCATAGAACTAGTTTGACCAATTTTTTTAAATTTTTTAATCCTCACATTCATGAGAATTTCTTTTTTGATTCTAGATTGTTTGTCCATTTTTTTCCACCATTTTATTTCGAGGCAATTTGCAAAAATTTCAAAGCTGTCAGTAAATAATCAATTGACGTAAAGATATTTTTTATATTTCGTGGATGAACGAATTGGTTCTATGGGGAATCATGGACTAACCATATATCACTTTTGCTCAGTTGAATCACAAAAATTTGGGCCTGCGTGAAGTTAGTCCAGTCTGTTCAAATCAAATTTCATCATTGTGTTCAAATAAAACTTTTCCGTGGACTAACGTGGCCATTCGGTGACACAAACTAGTCACTTTACGGCTCAAATGTCGAATATTGACGAATTATTAATGACTTAATGACTATTAATGTACGAATGCTTATGCCACATGAAAGTCGTTAATATTATGAGATTTTATTAATGATGAATTTAACCCACTTTGTTAGCTCACTTTATAGCACGGATCCGTCACTTTATCACACAAATGTGCAACTTTACTGCACAGGTGTCATATATTATCGACCAGCGACCCGCCTCGGCTCCGCACGGCTGCAATGCTGATAATAAATGCACTATGAATATTTTTATACCCAACGTTCACAGCTTTTTTGTGAACAAACATGTTTTCTTTAGAGGTTAATCTTGAAAGAGCAACATATAATTGGCCCGGTACCGGCGCAACCGCTATCTGCATTTTAAACCTGTAATATCTTCGAAAATATTCATTCAAATTACATGCTGTGACGAGCCATATTTATCACATCATGGACAGATATGCACCCCAAATATGAGTAGCAGTCCTTGTAGTTCTGGTTCCCTTTCAGTGATAGAGCTTTATGAAGCAAGAGACGAATCGATCCCTCTACGAAACCCTTCTTTACTTGGATCGATCGCAGCTTGAGAAATAATTCTTATGGAGATTCTGTGAAACGTGTTTTCCTTACGAATAAGTAGAGAGTTGTCCTGAAAATCTAGAGAAGAAAACTGGATTGGATAATTTAGGAAATACATGCTCTACATGGATAACATTTTACAAGTGTTGTTCATGGTGAAGAATTTCAAGAACGAGGTTTTAATGATGAACGAGAACGGGAATGTTTCCTACTTATTCTTCAAATTCAAACATCTGTTCATGCAGCTGCAGTTTCGTAAGAATGTATCATCTTTCCCTCCAACCGATTTCCTGGAGTCTTTGAAGTCCACTAGATACTTGTTAGGACAACAAGAGGATTGTTCCGAATTCTTGGGGTTCTTGTTGAATACTACTCGTGAGCATAACAATAGCAAAATCAATACTCATAACCGCTCTGGATTGAATGATTCCGTACAGTCCTTCACGTCTTGTGTTTGTAAATCTTTTGCTGGAAAAATCCTCACTTGTTTACTTTCTAGTAAATGTTCAAGAGGTAGCGAAAACTTATGTGAATTTCTGGAACTTCATCTAGCGTTTCCTAATACGACTAATAACCAGTCCGTGCAAAGGTTATTGTTAAATCAACTGAAGATGGAATTTTTAACAGGTGATGATCGATTGTATTGCCAAACATGCGCCAAACTAACTGACTCTTATAAGGAAACAAGTATAGCTGAGGCACCAGTCAATCTAATAACAACAGTGATGATCTTCAAACAAGACTCAACCTCTGACGGAAGCAAGAAACTATTTCGAAGGTTCGAAATAGGTGAACATTTCAATCTAGCAGACCACTATTATAATATTCATGCAGTCATTGTTCACTGTGGTTCTGGCGTTGAATTTGGTCATTATTACGCCTTGGTCAAAGAAGAAACGGGCTGGTTTAAGTTTGACGATAGTCGTGTCACTAAGTGTTCTGGTGATGTATTGAATCTATTGGAGCCCCTGGAGACACCCTACATTTTGATTTGTGGGAGAGACGACATTGGCAGATCATGATCTTCAGATGATGTGGTGCTGCAGGTTTTTCCGGGTTTTCCTGCAGCTGAAAAAGTAAATGCGCCACTGGAATCAATGAAGTCGCCCCGGAGAGCCAATTAATTTTTATTGTTATTTTTATTTTTATCGTTATTTTGAAATTAATGAATTATTTGGGTTTTATAATCACATGATTAAAAAGATAAAGGATATTTGTGATATACTGTTTGGAACCTTTGGTGTAGTAATGAATATTACTGGAGTTTTTTCCCAACACCAAATCGTTATTTTTACACCTCGACACGTGTTTCGATCACCAAGTGATCATCTTCAAGAGGAAGATAAAACTAATAACTACTCAAAACTAAAGCTACTTATATCAATCAGGTACCTGTATGATGTACCTTATTAGTATAAGTAGCTTTAGTTTTGAGTAGTTATTAGTTTTATCTTCCTCTTGAAGATGATCATACAGGTACCTGTATGATGTACCTTATTAGTATAAGTAGCTTTAGTTTTGAGTAGTTATTAGTTTTATCTTCCTCTTGAAGATGATCACTTGGTGATCGAAACACGTGTCGAGGTGTAAAAATAACGATTTGGTGTTGGGAAAAAACTCCAGTAATATTCAGATAAAGGATATATTAAAGATATATTTATAAACCACCTTTTTCCCTCGCGGCTGGCGTCTTACTTGGAATATATAAAAATCTTTTTTATTGCACATCTGGAACATGAAACGAATCTACATACAAAATTTCAGTTTCCGAAAATACAGCGGTACAGAAAAACAGTGATGAAAAGGTAGTTTTCATATGTAAACGCGCCCCTTTTACCCCCACGGGGGGCGCCTCACTTGGAATATTTGAAAATCCCTTCTTAGTGCGCTTCTAAGACCTAAGAAGCACCTTTATACCAAATTTTAGCTTCCTAGAACTCACTAGTACGGAGAAACAGGGATGAATGATAGTTACGTGACTTTCTCACTCATAAGTATATATTTTGACGTTCAAAATAATGGTCGGCAATAAAGTACGACTATTCATGATAATAATTGAACGATTTTCAGATTTTTTAAATTTCCAGATGCGTTTCGCTAACACCGTAGCTTCCTCAGTAGAATTGAGGAAGCTACGGAGTTAGAGAATCGCGTCTAGAAATAAAAAATGTTTGTGAATTTTTTTTTTATTTTATCGTCATGGATAGAGTTGATAATTTTCATCAAGTAATGGATCAGTCCATTCATAGGGTATGATTAAATACCTTCATCATTGATTCAACATGTGTTTTATGGAAGAAGGGGTTGCTGGTGGGCCGTGGAAGGCCGTGGGTTCGATTTCCGCCCCGACCAGATATTTTTCGCGAGAGAATTAATCTGGTTGAAGCTGGGATGATTCTGCAACCGTGTTAGGAATAACACGGTAACGAGGTAAGACCTCGTTAGTCCTCAGCTCGCACAAGTTTCTCAACTTCTGAGAGTTGTCGTTCGTATGGGGGCGACAGCTGATTAACGAAAAAACAGATTTCAAACAGATTTTTAAACAGATGAAGGTCCTCAACGATTCCGAAAATGCCGTTAATCATACTTGAAGGAGAGGCAACATTTGGCTAGAACTCATACACCTAAAATTTTCGTCTTGAAAGTATCACAATCGTTATTGTTAGCCGAGAAAACAATGGTTGGGACGACAAACGAAAATGATTCGTTAGCAAACAATTCTTTTGTTTCTTTCTTCGAAATATGCCACAGTTTGGTTTTCCGGCATTTACTTACTTATTTCGAAATACGTTAGTATGTAAATACTCACACGAATTGAAAAGTTCAGTGAACTGTCGTTATACCTGGTCGAGTGTAACAAATTAATGAAATAAATTTCTATCTGCCTTCTAATGGTCGATTAAAAATAGATCTTCGATAGGTGCATTACTGTTTAATGCCGATAGCACCTGGTTTGAGTAACTAAAAATAGATCAATAATAGAAACTGGGGGTTCCTAATTATTTTAAAAGTTTGTTTTTCGGATATGAAGAAAATTACCCGGGGCATGATAACATACCTACAAATATAATTATTAGGTTCGATGTTAAAGTGTGGGAGTACTTCGGAAATGGAGCATTTCTGGATCAATTTTTCATGACAATTGTTGGAAAAACACTTTTTCAAAAATTCTGAAAGCTACTTGGAAGGTGAGATAAATATTTAGGACACAAAGTAAATGGGTTGCAAGATCGTTTGTTTGAAGGTGGTTGACAATGTTTCGTGGTGTATTTCATCAGTTCGGACTTCCATTGTCTAATATAATATAAATTGATTTGACAACCCTGAAAAAATTAAAAAGATTTACCGAAAATAACAATTTTATCAAACGAAAAACTGAAATTACAAAGAAATTGTTTGGTTGTTGCTTGTATGTTATTTCTTTGTAATTTCAGTTTTCTGTTTAATAAAAATGTTATTTTCGGTTAATCTTTTTTAATTTTTTCAGGGTTGTCAAATGAATTTATATTATATTAGACAATGGAAGTCCGAACTGATGAAATACATCGCAAAATCGTGTTAGTTACACCATTTATCTCTCAAGAACAGGCTGGGCAGATTTTCATGATTATTGATTTGTTGGATTTCTCTCTGCCAGGAATAGCAGAATAACATCTGAAAAATTAAAAAAAAAAGATATTAAACAAATTGATTTCGTCCGGTTTGTGAGGTTTTGATAGTTGTCGCCCAAATACAATTGAGGTTATGACATTTGCGATTCTCCGCGGAAGACTAATTGTTATGTCAATAGAAACAAAGTCATCAATATCCATCACAGTATTATTTACAATGCCACGAACGGGAAGTTCAAATCTTTCACAACGAAGCTGTAATGCAGTTGAACTCGGGAATATTTCGAGTCAATTCACTGCAAGTGAAGAAGAAGTCACATGAGAGGAGCGCCGTGTTCGGTGTTGCCAGGTCTAATTTATCAAAATTCGACTTATTTGACCTGCCGTCCTCGCTTTAGACCACGGTATCGCTCTGGCAGACAGAAATCTTTTACAGCAGTTACCAGCAATGTTTGAAAATGAGCTTTTTATATTGCCAGCTTTAGACGATAAGCCAATCAATAGACGTATTTTATTGAAAGACTTTGGTTGTACAAGGGTATTGAAGAAAAAAAAATACTTGTTGGATGTGAATAACTTTTTATTCCTCCGATAGTTTAGGTTTTCAACTGAATGTGCATGCTGTAAAGTTGTGCATTTATATACATTCAAATTTACAAAACTCCTATTGTGCTTGTAGAATCAGATCCTTCGACTGTACTCTGTTTCCTAATTGTAAAAAGTAATAAATTCTCATTATGAATGCAAAACGCTAACGCAAAATTTTGTGATATCAGTATGATTTACCAAGCTATTATATGCGGCTTTATAATACTTAACCGGGCCTACCTTATTTTTGAAGGCAAGGGGGTTGAATATCATCAACAATAGCTGAAGGTTTTATTGAAAACTCTAGATACAAAAACAAATGTTTTGTTCGCTCTTCTCGGATCCCAAAAAACAAAATACTGTTGGTTGTACCTACCGTTACTTCACGAATAAATAATAGTATAGTGTAATATCTGTCATCCATCTAAATGAAACACCTTCAAGGTTCATTCAATAACTGTATTTTCCAATTTTAAAATACCAAATCACAGAGCCCTGTCCAAGGACGTCACAGATAACTTTTTATACAGTATTATAGGCCAGACACATTCCTACTGACATTACATATAGTATATACCTAGGGTGAGAAGTGAGCTATTATTTACCGAGCATTTTTATATAATGTGCGAGGTAAATAATAGCTTTTTCAGCCGAGGTATATATATAGAATTTTTTTCACTACTAACATTGATATATTAACAATTTTAATTTTGGCATTAGTAATTTTCTAACAATTTGTTGAATATATCGGAATATCAAGTAGAGTGGAGCGTGTTCTAATCAGACTGGCTTTATTTATGTTAAAATTTGGCATGTGTCAAATTTTGATATGAATCTAGGAAATATCTCATTGCATTTTTGATATATTTCAATGTTCCACTTCTCTCATCGCCTCTGTATGTTCAGAACTTAGAATTTCTCAATTCTGTATTATAGTGAGAAAAAAATTTCCTTGGTTATATGATAATCCAAGGCAGCTATGAATTGTTGCATGTCAAATTGAAACGGTACAGTTTCCATGTTGAATACGCGATGTCGTTGATAAGCGCGCAACATCTACTTAGGCCATGAAAACGTTTGCCGGCGTTTCCATGACAACCAAACACTGTACAATGATTATATTATTGCTGTCACTTTGCCAAATGCGGTTTTAATTCAAATTTAGATGTCATTTTGAAGAAGTTAAAAGATCTATATAAGTAAAACGTCAATATAATTAATTGAAAAACGGGTGAAAATTCAAGTGACGATGATTTAGAGATGATGTGTACCTTGCCTGATTTGTCACAATTGTACGATTAATTATAATTTCAAATAATTTTCCAGCGTATTTCCAATGTTCAATTTCCTACTTCTAGTTGATAATTAAGTTAACAAAAGTTTCTGTGAATATCTTTGAAATTATAGAATTGTTCTCATTATTTACCAAGGGTGAGAAATATTAATTCTCGTTAGGGGAATGGAGTAAATAATAGCAATTTCTCAGGTTAGTAGTGAAAAAAAAATTATACTATGATTGGAAAGAATATTACTGGAGTTTGATCTTCCTCTTGAAGATGATCACTTGGTAATTGAAACACGTGTCGAGGTGTTGAAATAACGGTTTGGTGTTGGGATAAAACTCCAGTTATATTCATTACTATACCAAAGGTTCCAAACACTGCATCACAAAATGATAAGAAATGACGAAACGGATTATCAAACCAGTGGTGTAATGTTGGAAAATTGTTTGCACATCACTGTAAATATTCACAACAATAATTCATATTATAGAATTTCATCTATTTACATTTTTGAGCAAGAGCAAGATTTCAAAAAAAAAAGAAGAAAACGTTACGTTTCAATGCCAATAGGTATAAAAATCATTGAAAATGTCACTCATGATATGAAATTGATGAAATTGACAAAAAGTAACTGGTCTTTGCAACTGTTTAGCGAATAATTGGATCAAAATAATGGTCCAGTCATAGTTTTAGTAAAAACATTGATGTATCGCATGACGTCAAGTTAACAGAATATCGTATATTTTTTTGAAAAAGGGAAAATATTTGGAATCATCAGTTTTGCATATATCAAAAAGTGTCTCGTTAAGTTGTTATACATATTTTATACTTTGGTTATGAAGTTGTCAAATCTTTAGACCTTTCAAACGGTCGAAGTCCGAACTTCTAGTATTCAATAAAATATCATTGTGTGCATATTTGTCGTCTGCTAGACGAATCTAAATGTTTCAAAAAGTTGTTTGGAGTATCCTTAGATGGATAATCATCCGAAATCCATAATTGAATGATAATATATGTCGTTCCAACAGTAAATTATGCAGGAAAATGTTTTTTTAGAAAGTGTATAGGTAATCAAATCATCTGTATTCAACTAATATTTTTTTAGTAATGGTTATTAGTGTAATAAATTTGAACTAACTTTTCATAATATTACCTTTAACAGTTAAATACATGGTGGTTCATAAAAATCTTCTCTAGATATTCTAATCTGTACACGAAACATCTTGTTTCGATTGTTTTTTGCTGCCAAGAAGTGAACAAAATTTGAGTTTTTTTTTTTAAGTATCAGGGTTTTTATCTTAAATTCAAAACTTGTAAAAATTAGTTAATTAACTAAAGTATGGATTTTAGTTTATTCATGTGTCTAGAAGGTATGTGATTTTTTTCTCAATAATAATATTTAATGGGTTAAAATAATTTTTATTGTTCAAAGGTCCGTATCGGTCAGTACGTGCGGGACGCACATCGCCCGCTTTTATCACTATTTTCGCCTCTAAATCCCTACTAATCCCTACTAATATTATAAATACGAATGTAAGTTTGTTTGTTACGGTTTCACGCGAAAACTTCTCAACCAATCATCATGAAATGTTGTACATATGTTCTTGGAGGTATTAGAAGTAACAAAGGATACTTTTTATTTAAAAAAAAGATTATTTTTTATGTGAGATAAAAAAATTGTTTGTCAAAAAAATCTCAAAATCTAGCCACTTTAACGCCATCTAGCATTTCAGTAATGAAGTTCCAACCAAAGTTATTTATTTTTGTTGTTGCAATTCAATAAAGCATATTTTAAATTTTCGAAACTTCATCGTATATAATAATTTTTAAAAATTGATAAACCCAACCAAGCATTAAAATATAGTTCTCATATTGATTCATTTCTATTGTACTGACACCTGATTGGCATAAATGCCAGCGAAGCCGCGGGTAAAAGCTAGTTAAAATTATAAATATTGGTGATAGAGTTCCGGGAGGTGGGACTTTTTTTAAGGAAATTTCCTCCTCTTTTAGGATCTTTTTTCAGATATCGGATATCTTTTAATATTTTCCGAGATATTGGCAAAAAACCAAACCCCCCTTCTTGTTAGTAAATTGTTTATACCTTTTGCAATTTTTTCGAGCACCTCTTGAAATTTTTCAAAAAGTTGCGGGGGGTCATTCCGAATCGAATGAACCATTGATCATAATTTTCGGTGCCCTTGGACAAAAGTTCCAAAAAAGGATCTTGTGACCCAGACTATTAGACTGTTCTAGCTTCATACCAAATTTGGCGAGTATTTCGAATATTGTGGCGCATGTGTTGTGGTAATTTACTCTCGATAACCTTATTATGTAATATACATTTCATTTTATAACAAATGAAATT